TAGTGATTTCTGCGGTCGTATTGACATTGATCATATCAGTATACCAGTATACGAAATAACGCTTATTCTGTAGGCATTCTGGAATCTTTAAACCTGCAGTGATCACAAGCCGGTATCTGTTTGTTTAACATGAAGCCATGTGAGAAAAGATACCAAACTAGCAAACTAAATGTGTCACGTTTTGTTCTTTGCTCAGCCTGTAAGCCACGTTTTGTCGCTATAAAAAGTACGTAAAGTTCCAATTTTAGGAACTTTTTTTCCTGTAATTGCGTGACATCGGTAAATAGAATGATAATACAACAATAGCAGTGATAAAGCTAGCAATATCAAGTTGTTTACAAGTATTGATTACAATTAAAATAAACAAAACAGTCACGATATTTAACACAAGAGTTAAGCTGAGAAATTCACAGTTCAAGTAGTTTCGTTGAATATCCTTCTCTTTATCCAATGTGGTGCTTTGCTTGTTGTTGTTTCTGTTAACATCCAAGTTCTGCTCATCAAGATCCGTGATTTTTTTCAACATCTGAGGTATTCACATTTTTCAAAGTTTTCAATGCTTCCAAGCTATAGAATTCGTGGAGCAACCCGTTCCGAAATCGCTCGGCCTACCACGAATGGTGTGTGCGTTTGTATGTGAGACGAGCGTATGAGGCATTGTTATTTCTGGAGATTTCTTCACAAAACACGGCGGCATTCTGTATAAGTTGTCCTGTTTGCGAGGAATGGCTCTGAGGTTGTCGCGATTCTCTTTTTGGTGCGAAAACTACACTTGTGGCGACCAAATACGACGAAGAACGGCTTGCATTTTTTGACCCGAGCTTTCCTACGAAAGCTTGAGTTATAACGTAAATTTGAGTCGGTGTAATTTAATGATCGTAACCACGTAGGAATCTTGCTGTATTTGAAAATGACGATAAACTGACAGAACTTTGACATAAGCTGTCGTCGGCGCTTTATTCTACTGTCACGACAAATATAGCAGTCCCTCAAAATGACCCAGGAATAGTAAAGTTCCTCGTGCAGATGGCTGTGTGTCTCGATTTACACTCAATCTGTTGACAGAAGCGTCGGCCTAAGTTTGTTATCGACGGGAAGGAATTTGATCGTGTGGTCATTTGGATTCGACTATCTCTGATTTGTATTTCAAACTGGGTCGCAGGCGGATGCTTTAGCGGAGGTCTAAATCTAAGATTCATTCCCAAAACCATGGACTTCTCTGGAGTGACTTGCTTTCCTTGTAAGAGAAAAGATCTCCATTGGGCAATGGTGCTTTTAATGTTCATATTTCATCCCCTACATGGCATTATGAAGGTCTTAAACTTGTCTGTGAAGAAGGCAGCATCTTCTGCTCTGCTTTTTGAATAACAATATCGAATCTTTGTTTTAGACTGATGTAGAGCATCAACGCTATACTGCCTCATGGCCGTTGGCCCTAATGCTAATTTTACATAATGTACATGTACGAGTGAGCCATTTCTTCCTTAAAGTGAAGACACTGAGACGTTCTCTGTTTGGGAGTGCAGGCATGAGTCCATTCAACGTTTTAATGTCATAAGCAGGTTTGTAAATTGAATTGATCATTGGAAACTCATGCACGATATGGGTTTATGAATTCTAAGGTGACAATAAGTAATAACAGGAATAATCTAACCAACATCTTATATCATATCCAGGTTATTAATCAGCATAACTATCGAGTGTATATTTATTATTTTCTTTAATTTATTACTGTAAGGTTCTTATTAGTATGCGTGAAACTGCTGCTCGCCTTAACTTGCTGTTGCTATCTGCGAGCAGTAGATGTTAAGCTGTAAATAGTAACAGTATCATAAAATTGAATTGAATTGATATGAGTTTATCAATTCTAAACTAACAATATGTAACAATATAAATACTCTAACCAACATCTTTTTACATCATAACTAGGTTTTTAGTCAGCATTACAGAGCATAATGATTAGAACTCTGTTCCAATCGGCAAAAGTAAAGTAAAAAGCCTAGAGATTATTTGACCTCTGTAGCAGCGTGAAAATTTCTATTTTACAGTGAAACGGAATAGTTCCGTTGAGTAATCTTTGGTTACATGTATGAGTCAATGTTTTAAGATTGCTTGAAAACCCGATAGAAATGTTCATTATATCTGAAATAAATTGTTCTATGTCTCTCGCTTCGTAACTCTGTATGTATCTGGATCAAAGAATAGAAAGTCTTAATTGCTCTCAGGTAGATAAGAGCTAAGTCTTACATCACATTCACTGTTTCTGACTCTTCGAGCAAAGCACATTGAAAACGAAAATAGCTATAAATAGCATTATAATAACACTAAAGGATATTTAACAGGAAAACATTACTCACTTAAGAATTCATTTAAATATACGTATGTACTGACCACGCCATTGAACTACTGAGGGAAAATGGCTAAATTAAACATTTTCATTTGGCACTCTTCCCCTACATCATGCCTGACTAAAGTATCCTTTGTTGGAACACATACATATTGGGGTGGATGCCATACTTCAAAACCCACATTGTTTGTGATACTTATTCCGTTCTTACTCGCCAGCATGCCAACGTAAACATCGTCCAGTCTGAAGAACGGCAAAGAAGAGAAAGTGTCAACAAATGCACGTACAACATCGTGAGATAAAACGTATCCAAAACCGGGGCAAAAATCTGGATATCTTGTCTTGTTATATTCCTCGTAATTTACCTTCCATTTTCCTCCACGAAAAGGAACAGGATTTTTGTAGTGATTTCCAGCATAAAACATCTTCTTCGGTGTGGTGGGTGCGCTTAAGAAAGAGAGAACTCTCGGAACGTGCACGAAAACGTCGTCATCTACCTTCAAAAGAAACGAGAAATTGCAATACGTTACTGCCCATTCGAAGCCCATTTTTATCTTTCGGGTTTGATTCCAGTAGTGGTCATAATAGCTAGCTCGCACAAGGTCTTTATGAGCTTCATCTTCGTCGAGCAAAACGTTTGAAACTGCTTCATCCCGTGTTTGAGCGACCAGAAAAACGGACGTCCATCTTGGTTTTGCGGATCTTTCGAATGCCCATGTCTTACGAATGTTTTTCCTTCTTTTGGAATTACCTGGTGAGGATGAGATAATGATAAGAAGATCGTAATGTTGCATACAAGTCCTCCTGGTTATAAGAAATGTTTTGTGACTAATTTGCGGCGAAAGAGAAGTTGTTGTGAAGCTTGAAGACTTCGCAGTTGAGTTCAAAGGATCAATTTTCAATTCTCGAAATACAATCTCCTGCAATCGTCCTTCCTCATTTAGTTCTTCACGCAGTTCTTCGCCAACGGTGTCTGAAAAGTAGGAACGTGAGTTCCATACAAGTCCCAGCTGAAAAGATACACAAGATGTCAGCACAAGGGCTAAAACCACCAAAATTCTTCTCACCCGTTTTCTGCTCATTGTCTTCTATAGCCGAGAACCTTAGTGCGGAAGTCACGGTACAGTGGAATATGCAAATCAAGTCGAAAGGTTAATTTACCTTCTGACATCACTTCACAACAGACAGTTGTAGTATAGGAGTTGGGGGTACAGGCACGTTTTCTTATTTATGATTAAGGGTACGGAAACATTTTATGATTAATCTCCACGCGATGATATTGTACTCGCTTACCAGTTTGTGACATTTTCGGAAGAACAGGAAGTTTATTACTTTATACTTTAGGGGCTTTCCAGAGAAAATGTGATATCAGAACGCTATTATTATGAGGTCGTATGATCGTCATAAGGCAGTCGTACGATTTTTCTAATCAATAAAGCATAATTGATAAAGTTTGGTAAACATAAGATAATGAAAAATTATTTATGAAGTAGTTTAACTTTTAAAATGGCTGGCAGTGGCAGTGAAACTGGTCGGTCTGATTTATTCGATGATAGCGGAGCTCGCAGCGCGCGTAGCGCATTGTAATTGGACGTAATGGGACACTCCCCTTGGGGCTTTTCAGGACCAATTTTACAATTTTTGTTTCCCTACTGGGTGAGATCGGACGCCAGCTTATATAAGGCGCCTCAGGCTGCCGCTATCAGTCCATTTTGATTTTACCCACCCACCCACCCATTCACCCACCCCCCACCCTTACAGGGAAAGATAGACCACCACACCGGGAACTACGTCCCCTACTCTTTTCGACAAGTGCGTGGGTTCTTTAACGTCCCCTGCTAACCATGTAACGCTGAAGATGCAGGAGACGGGGCCTACGGTTTAAAGTCCTTATCCGAGAAGACTTGAATGTCTAACCATTTGAAGATATGAATACAAAGGCAGCACATTCTCCTCAGTTATTTTAAGACCCTGAGTGTTGGTCCGGTCTGGGACTTACTATACTTACTATAGGAAATGGCAGTAACCCATCAAGCCGAAAAAATTTGGACTTACAATCGTACGACCGACCCTACTCGGGGCTACTTTTAGCATGCGCGGCAAACTGGATTGCAGGCACTATCTTAGCCATTACATAATGGAAGGGCAAGGGAGAAGGTAATACGCAGACGCGATTGCGTGTGTAACTTGGACACCCTTTTAGCGTGCGCAAGTCACAATGAGGTGCGAATACTCGAGTACTGAGCTTTAGTGCTGCGTACCGCGGACAAACGGTTAGGCATTACACAAGGGCTTCACGTGGGCTAGTAGATGTGAGGCTGTGTAAGCAAATAATTTGCAACCCGTGTTTTGAGCGGGAAATCATACCGGTGAGGTTGAAGTTGAACAGTAATTCTCAGTATTTTGCAATTTCTAATCAGCTCGCAAAAGAGCAATACCGGCAGAGCTAAAGCTTTTTCAACCGGACTTTTCTGCACTCCAAATTAGTCTTACAATAATTTTTCACAAGAGTACGTTTACATCTATATTTTTTATTTGGTCTTCTACCTCTAGATGGTAGGATCTTAAGAGGCTTATAAAATACAACTAGCTTGAGGTACAGTTTGCATATTTAGTCAACTTTGCCCAATTTTTACTGCGGTTTGCCCCACATTTGACTTTTCCGCACTCCAAATTAGTCTTACACTCCCTGGAATCACTTTTTACAAGAGTACGTTTACATTTATGTTCTTATTTGGTCTTGTACCTCTAGCTGGTAGGATCTGAAGGGGCTTAGAAAATACTACCGGCTAGAGGTACAGCTTGCATATTTAGTC